GAACCTTCTCTCACCTTGTGTACCCGTCGGCTGGCGGGTTGCACTCTTCGGAGGACTTGGTGACGATGTAGATGTCTGCCTTGAGGGAGGTAGACCTGGGGGGGCCTCGAGTGGATATGCTTCACTCGGTGGGCCGGTAGGTAGCCACTCGATCGACCTTGTCGAGAGTGGACTTAAAGCCAAATTCTTCAGGGGCGCTTGTCGTCCCTGGCCTTTTCCTTCTTGTTTCAGGGGTATTAACCACCTGACCTTTACGTTACTCCCGGACCTTGAGGTGAGGGAGACCGCTTCCGATAGCGGGTCTTGGGGGGGGGGTGTTGCTACTCGAACGAGCTCACAGGCCAAATATATCCTGGAGCTCTATTCGCACTTGAACTTCGCTACACAACTGTCTTCGACGGGGGGCCAAATATATCCCTTCCCGGAACAGTGAGTAACTTAGAACAAGTCCTTCTTGGGTGACGGAGTCGTGCCACGTAGATCGCAAATTGAGTAGTATTTAATATAGTCCTATCCTTTTACCTCCTTTACTCTATCCTTGCCTGAAGCTCTGATTCCTTGCGTCGACTAGTCTGATCCTTGTATTAACTGGTACGGAGTGGCTGAACCCCGAGGGGCCGAGGTCGACTGATGAGGGACCCAGGTCTACCAATGAGGGACCGGGTCGACCAAAGAGGGGCCGAGGGTCGACCGATGAGGGGCCGAGGTCGACCGATGAGGGACCCAGGTCGACCTATGAGGAACCCGGGCCTACCAACGAGGGGCCAGGTCGATCAATAAGCGGCCATGATCAACTCCCTTTGGTACCGGTTAACCGGTACCCTGATGCTGATTTTTCTTCGGCGGTCTCTGCGGATTGTCCTCCACCAACGGTCGCTCCCCTTCGAGGCCCCTGTCTCTCTGGTCCCCTGTCCCTGACCCACGGCCTATACTCTGAATCCAACTGGAGTCCGGGACCTTCATATCACAAAAATTGCACTTCACCACATCATCATGGAGTTCATTTCTTCCACTTGCAGAGTTTGCAATTAACAATGCTGTCCACGCGTCAACCGGGTTGACGCCCTTTTTCGTTAACAACGCGAGTCATCCTCGCGTTCCGGCGCTGCTTGCTCTCTCAGCTTCAGAACACCCTGTCTCCAAGCTTGGTGGGGGAGTATCTACGGATGAAATTGCGCCGAAACTATTGATGAGTGATTACGATGCGCATAAGGTTGCTGCCGATGCACCTACTACTGGTAATTTTGTGGCCAACGGCATATCTACTCCTGACGCGATGCTTTCCATCGCGTCTTCCGTTGCCAATAATGCTCCAAAAGAACATACGTCGCCTGTAAGTTCGGCTGCAGTAACCGAATTTCTACTATTACGACAAGGAATCACGCTTTTTGTGCGTGATGCATTACAAGAGGCAGTCGACAAGCAAAAGTATAATGCAGACAGAAGAGGTCGAAAGAATATGTTGACATTTCAAGAAGGTGACAGAGTATTGTTATCAACAAGTGGATTACCAAACACCTCAGTGACGAATGTGGGCGCTAATAAGTTAGCGCCAAGATATATTGGCCCATTTCGGGTTGTTAAGGTGCATGGTGACGCTTACACACTAGACATACCTACATCGATGCGTTTGCACCCGACGTTCTACGTCGGGCGCCTCAAGGCTTACCTGCCGGCGGATCTCCCTTCGAATCTTCCCCGCTCTTCTGTGCCGGCTCGAAATCCGACATCCCTTGACGACGACGTTGACGACGACTGGGACCAAGTCCTGCCCGAACGCGTGCAGACTCGATCTGCTGAGGCCCTCCGAACGCAGTCGTCTTGAGTTGACGTAGGCGCTCAACCAGTACCAGATGCTCACGTCGAGTCCGCTCAGCAGCCTCAGTCGCAGCATCCGCACGATTTTGAGCTCTCTCAGCCATCTCACGAGCATCAAGTAGGGCATTCTTCGACTCCTCGGCTTCAGCGCGAAGTAGGCGCAGCTCATCATTCGACCGTACAGGCGTCCGATTACGAGAATCGGCGCTCATCGCCAGAGGTCTTCCGTCGTGATGCTCCTCCTCCCTTAGTCGATGCATCGGGTGCGCGACGCTGGATTGTCGACCGGATTGTCGATCACGAGGATAACAAGTTCCAGGCGTCGAGTAATAACTCGGCGCCCATGAAGAAGCATGTCGAGAAACATTACAGGGTTCGCTGGTTGGGATATTCCCCGGCGGACGATACATGGGAGCCATCGAGTACGCTGTCCCAAGATGTCCCGGACGTGGTCGAGGACTACGAGCCCCGTAGAAAGACGGTGATCGCGACCGACGCTGCCGGTTCCATCCCCGATCTCGCGAGCCGTAACGCTCGCGAGCAACGAAACCGCGACGACCTCCCGAGCGACTCCGAGACCGAGATCTATTACGAGGCTCGGGAGCATATGGATGATACGGTTGACGACCTCGGCTACGTGAATGCCGTCGGCGATCGTAAGGACGCGCTCCCACTCGCCGTAGCTCGTACACCTGGAGCTCCGAAAGGCTTCTCTCATAACGGGCGATCCATGGACGAATATGGTCGGGCATGCCTCGCACACACACCAAGTCGTCCCATTCCTGCCGGACCGGTCGCGATCTGCCCACGTTGCACGTTGGACATCCCTCACGAATGTGGACATAACAAAGATGATACTCGTCACAAGTCATACGACAGATGCGCCGGCGCAGGTCGCCAATAGCGTGTCTATCACGCGTTCACTCGCGACCGTCTAACCAGGACGTGAAGGACGTTCCTTCACGTCGGCTCGCGTTCCAGCGCCTGATGCAGGCACACCAAGACCTCTGCAACGCATCGTCGGTATACGCGTTGTTCGTCGCCTTGCCTCTCACTGTACGGTATCGCGTGAAAAGGTCCTTCATGACCTCCAGTGGCTCGGGTTCGACAGCACCTTCAAGACCATACAAGCGTCACGGTTTCAAGTCCCCATCCATGACCTGCGGCGCCTGATCTCTACGGATTGTCGCTTGGTGTTCCCAGTTCTGGCTGTCAGAGACATTGTTTCGTGGACGCCTAGGGTCCATGCTGCTCAGTTAAGCCAAACTGAGCAGGTTCGGAGTTGCGCCGTTGGTCGAGAAGAAACTTTCTGCGATTCGCGCTTACGTTGAGGTAAGCGCAACTTAAAGAGGTGGGGTGATGTAATGGGTCTACCTATTACATGAGTAGTTATAGGATTAATACATAATTACATAAGTAGGCATAGGGCAGTATCCGATTAGCGGATACTGCGCGTCATTTTATTATTGGTTTATTATTGGGGTGCCAGACCCAATAATTAGCCAATAATAAATTGACTTCCATATTGAGTGGTTCCCATGAGCTAGGGAACATATTCGCACTTACTACGAATTAAAACTAAAACAAAAATAAAACAGAGTTATATTTACGAGTTCATTAAGAGCGCTTCCTCAACGTGTAAGACGGTAACGGGTCCTTAGCCTGTTACAACTCGAGTCTGGCCACACGCCTGTTCCGAGGTAGGGATATATATACCCCCCCGTTGAAAACAGACGTGTGGTTAGACTCAAGTGCGAGCTGAACCCCACGTGGCACGACTCCGTCACCCAAGAAGAACTTGCTCTAAGTTACCCACTGTTCCGGGAAGGGATATATTTTGGCCCCCCGTCGAAGACAGCTGTGTAGCGAAGTTCAAGGGCGAATAGAGCTCCAGGATATATTTGGCCTGTGAGCTCGTTCGAGTAGCAACACCCTCCAAGACCCGCTATCGGAAGCGGTCTCCCTCACCTCAAGGTCCGGGAGCAACGTAAAGGTCAGGTGGTTGATACCCCTTAAACAAGAAGGAAAAGGCCAGGGACGACAAGCTCCCTGAAGAATTTGGCTTTAAGTCCACTCTCGACAAGGTCGATCGAGTGGCTACCTACCGGCCCACCGAGTGAAGCATATCCACTCGAGACCCCCCAGGTCTACCTCCCTCAAGGCAGACATCTACATCGTCACCAAGTCTTCCGAAGAGTGCAACCCGCCAGCCGACGGGTACACAAGGTGAAAGAAGGTCCATACGCGGCATCAGGGTGCCCCCTCCGAAAGTCGGCAGTCCGGCACAGTGAGTGGTTTGGGGTCTCATCATACAATTTTGAGAACCCACTCCACCACAAAAGCACGCAAAGGACGTTCAAGGGCCTCCAAGTGTTAGGAAATGAGCACGCGAGCCGAAACGAAGCGAGGCAAAAAGAAGAGAAGCTTTATAGTCGAAGAAAGGTTGCACTTGAGTGAAGACTGAACGACTTTAAGCGGAAGAGAGAATTTTGGTATTGATTTGATGATCGTAGATATTTCTTTTTACTACATGATCTACATCTATGTCACATATTAGTCATGTCAAACGTCTCTTCATCCTATGCGTCTCCTCATCCTCCACGTACGCGTGATCTGATTTGTTTTAGCTACCCGGTATACGATACAGAGTTCATGTAACCGGTAACCTCCTATACCAAAGTTGAGGAAGGAGAGACAGAAAGCTAAAGAACGAAAGGCATAGTGTGGAAGTTGAGCGTTGTAAGTATGGACTGTGTTTTCTGTGTCACGAAAGATTACGTGATATTGCGATTAACTTAGCTGTTATTTTGTTGCGCATAGATAGTGCAGTAGATAGTAGATAAGATGACTAGGAATTAGTAATTTTTGAACAGAAGCAGAGAGCGTTAGGAGACAGAGTAGCTAGGATACAGACAGATGACTGAGACATGCAAATATAGAACTTTATCGTCTACTTGAGTGCGACACGCACATCTGCTTGCAGAAGCAATATTAGAACTGGCATTAAAATTATCGGAGCCGCCTGTCGCCTATCGTCGCAATGCAGAAATCGTATATGTCAATTCTTGAAGCAACCTTCACGCGACATGAAATCGGGTCAGCATTCTGGTGACATGTTCCATTAACAATGCAACGAAATTCCCATCGAGAGCTCTTCGATATTTTTATCATTAAACGACAAAATGCTACGCTGTTTTAGCTGCTTCTTCCGTCCAGGAGCACAATATGACCGTACGTCTGAGGATAACGCATTATCCGCCTCAGGCATCCTCGCTCTTGGACATTACGATAAAAAAGCGGCTCTACTCGAAGATACCTACGACATTCTGTACCAGATCGGCGAAGGCAAGACTGGTCAAGTGTTTGCGGCCAAGACGAAAAGACCTCCCTATCGCAATCGCGCCAAAACAATGGCAGAAGAAAAGCAACGTGAGCGTGAATGTGATGAGGAGGTGGCTGTCAAAATGGTTCGGCAGGAATATTTGTCCACGAGTAATCGGATCGAAGCGCTGCAGTCCGAATTGGCCATCTTAGCACAAGTAAAACATCCAGGAATTCTTCGACTTCGGCAAGTGTTTCAGGACGATGACAAGTTTGCAATTGTGACGGATAAGGCTACGGGAGGTGAAATCTTAGATGCAATGTGCCGACCAGGAGCTCCACGAGTGTCGGAGAGTGACGTGGCTGAGGTGATCCGTCAATTGCTGAGTGTGTTGGCATACTTGCATCTTAATGGAATCACGCATCGTGACGTGAAGGTTGAGAATATTCTGTGCAAGTCCCAGAAATTGCAGGATGGCGTCCTGCTGATCGACTTTGGCTTGGCTCACATGGGCACTATTGGTGGCTGTGAAATGTCAGGTATGAATGGAACGCCGCACTATATGGCGCCCGAGATGTACCGCAAGCATACCAATTACGACTGTGCAATTGATCTCTGGTCTCTTGGGGTTGTCACGTATGTCCTGTTGTTCGGACAGTATCCATTCGACGCACGTTTTCTCTCACAGGTCGAAGACAAGATTGTCAAAGGTGAGTTTGAGTATCCTGCAGAACTCGAGTCGCAGGTATCTCAACAAGCAAAAAAGTTTATAGAGTATTTGCTAGTGCGAAACCCACGCGAGCGCCCACCTGCCGCAATGGCACTGCAGCACCCGTGGTTACAGACGGATGCTTCATCAACGACTCCCTTCACAAACGAGCATATGGCTGCACTAGCAAGCTTTTCCAAGGGCAAGAAAGTATTCGTACCGCCAACTTTAAAGGAATATGTGCCACCTAAGCCTGTTCCAGAGAAGGGCGTCATCATTTATGAAGGATGAATAATGCATCAACAATAGACACAATTGGGTAATAAGTCGCTAGCTCTGTTTATCGTGTTTTTCTGTTTGCTGCTGATCTCCTTGGGCTGGCTACATGTAGTCAGTGGTATGATGATCAAAAGATGTGGATGATAGTGTACAGCACAAGCCCCGTAGCTGTCATCAGAACGGGAGCGTCCATCGTATGCGGCGCTGTTGCCTCAGCGTAGGCCACAACAAACGGTAGAATGATCATCGTGAGCCAAAGTTGCGTTGGTGTCTCAAAGTCGAAGTACTGTAATGCAGGAAAGATCATCCCCGACAAAAAGACGCACGATGAGCCCTCAAAGCTTCGTGTGTATTTGCGCTTGGAGCAGCACGTGCTCGTCGAGTACTTGTGCTTGCCGAATGCAATACCAATTGGCTCTGCCAATCCGTCACCAATGCTTGTCACGAACACCAGAATGAATACAAGATTGGACTGCGTCGTACGAGCGAAAAGCCAGCGAAAGAAGAGTAGCACAAAGAGACCAGGAAAGACGTTGCCCGCTACAATCCACTTGAGTGTATGCGGTCGATCCTCTGGTCGATCCAGTGAATTAAATTGCAGCATGAACAACGTCGAGCGTTCACGAATAGGTTTAATAAGCAGCAAAAAACAAAAGAGGGTCACAAAATCTCCCCATGCCAACGCAAGGGATCCATTGCAAAGGGGACACAACTCTTCGTCTGGTTTAACCAGTAACGGGACAAGATATGCCGCCAGCAATTGAAACTTTCTCGTATAATTGACTTTGAAGACGGAACTGCGTTCTGTGATGACGTATCCAGCATCATCCACGATACAGAAAAACCGGCAGATGATACCTCCAAGAGTCGATACTCCCATCATAAGAAGTACTTTGGGCAATAAAAAGAGCCAGAAGCTCATATTGAACCAGAGATCCGGTTGCAACAATGCCGTGAGACCTGTAAGTGTCACTCCAAAGAGCAGCATGCCTACAAGGAAGACAAAATCAAAGGTCCGAGTCCAGCGCGTATCGTAACGTCCTGCTACTTGTCCGGCGTAAATGAGATCGTTCGAATCATCGTCATAATCATAACTATCATCATCAAGTCCTACACTGCCATAGGTAGGGACCTGTTTAGGCAAGCGGAATTTCGGACCTGATTTGGGACGCCATAGGACACGCAATACGAATAGAATGACCAACAACGAGCCCAGTGGTAACCCGAATAGCAGAAAGTAGTCGATTCTATCGAGATGATTGGACCACTTTTCAGTATGTGGCATTGCAATGGGATTCACGTCTGAAACATTGGGAACGTCTAAGGTGACCATATTCGAATATTGGAATATTTAGCTTAGGCGACGGCGGGTGAATGTTTCAATGGACGATCTTTGTTTTTGGCTCGATTTTTTGACAGTGTGACCCACATCCAAGCATGAATCAGACGTTATACTCAAACTAAGTTAAACTGTATTGAAGCCATGAGTGCATGGCACACGTCAAGCATTGCACTGCAAAACCGTTTAAACTTACGTTAAAAAAAAGAATTGTAGAAGAATGTTACCAAAAGTCCATGTATTATAACATTACGCGCTCGTGACTTCATACTTTTCTGTTAGAGCCTTGACGTCATCTTTCGATAATCCCGTTGCGCTCTTATTGTCGACGACAAACAAGTGCAGCTTGACATTTTGCAGCAAATTATGGTCCAAGTTTATAGCCGATGCTGCCTCCTTAGCCACAAAAATCACATGCTGCACTTTAAGATCAGTGTACGGATAGAAGGACAGATCTTCCGCGAGGATAGACGACAACTTGCCACTCTTGTAGCCCGTGAGAACAGTCTTGTTGACGTCCTTGAAGCGATCCAGCGGCGTTTTCACCAGTCCAGTATTCTTGTAGACCATGTCTGGCTTCTTAGCAGAGCCGACACCACGTTTGCTCTTGGGCTTCACCATTTCAGGTCGAATGTGCATTTTCTTCTTCATCAGCTTAAAAATTGACCGACAGTCGACGAGAAGCAGCACTTTGGTCTTCTGTCGACCATCTTTACGGCGGATCTCTGCATGCAATGCTGCAGCTTTCTCCACCACGTCATCCAGCGACTTACACAGTTGCAGTAATGTCTTCGGCACCACATGTGCATAATTTTCACTATCACTATCCACATTGTTATATTCCTCTTCTTCATCATTGGGGGCCGAGTCACGCTGGAAAACTTTGTTATTATCGTCTTCACCTTGTCCTTGGTCAAGAGCGAGTTTACGTCGTTTCTTATCGTTTTTCTTCTGCCTTTTAGTCTTGGAAATGCTAGACACCACATCATCCATTGACGGCTTCTTCCACCGTGGATCACGTGTGCTCGGCGGCTGAAACATCCGACCTGAATCGTCTTCGAATGTCATGCCATTGTCCATACGGCGTTTGCGCGTCTTCTTGCGCGTAGCTAATGTCTTTAACTTTTTCTGTTTGTAGCTGCTGGACATGATGCTGATATGTAAGGGAGACACGTTAAATGACACACAAACGCGCTTCTAGTCGGCACTTTCTACAGTACTATGTCAGTTGTCGCTCTACCACCCGTAAAATGAAATGGCTACATTTAGTTTTGCATTGTAAAAGAAGTGGTAGACAAAAGAAAGTTTAAGTACACCAATCACCTGCGATCATAGTGTAGCCATTATAAACGATGATACACTTTGCGACAAAATCAATTAAAATAGGTACATGGATACACTTTATAATAGTCCATCGCTGGTATATAGACGTATATAAACGCATTACCGCCATGACATCGCAGCTGCTCATTGGCTGTGATGGCCTCTAATTGAAGATCTAGACCTTGGCCGAAGCCTGTGACGAGTCTTGTCTACGCTCAGGCCAGCGTCGGGACAGAGCGGCGATTATGCGTGCGCCATGCTGCCGCTACGTAGTCCACACGAATGTCTCATTTTTACTGCAAAAAATGATGACGGATCAAAAAAAAGAAACAGATATTTGTCATTAGATACATGTTGTTCATTTCTGAACGAAGGAAACCACACTTATCATATATGATTTCCAAACCAGATTGGATGACGTAGATATGTTCAATGTGTATGATACGATGGCAGCTAATGATATGGTACCCGTTTGATACAGTAGTAGAGCCCATAGTCATACTACGTTGATGAGTCAGTTGTCAAGCTTCAGCCCCGTTAAGGTAGCGTAACAGTTTCCATTTTTTGCATCTGGAGAATTTAAAGTCTACACTTTGTATATTCCTAGCACTGGAAACCTTAACTTCCTCATTGTGGCGGCATGCATGGCAGATGTGTTGCTCGTTTATTGGTCCACTCTGACTGCAGATGGATCAAACTGCTTCCGTCGGAGGTGAGCAATGACATGTTTAAGTACGGCACCTAAAACTAAGCTGTTGTACACTGGTGAGGCCGTGTATAACAAGAGTCACACGACATTGAAGACAAGAAGTTGACGAACGGGCTAATAGCCACGAAGATTAAAGCGCATCTTTCGCCAAAATATAGTTGTCGAGAATCTCAATGGTAGACTTGCATTAGATCGTAATGGCTTCTACTCCGTAGAAGATAAAACAAAAGCAGGTGCATCACTGGAAGAGCAGAGAGAGCGCAGGCAAGTACGTGTTTCTACTGCGAAATAGCTGCTAACCACTGAAACATACTTTGAATCTCGGCCTTTTGTCCAGAGTTGTTTTATCTTCGGTGAATTAGCCACAGAATGTTAGCAACGTGGAACATGTCAAAAATGGCTTGGCTTTCCTCACGAAGCTGAAGATGACCAAGTCGGCGACGACATATCCGCTCAACAATTGTTGCATGGAGGACCCAGTCCACCCAGTGCGTGAAGTGTGCACTGCAAGGTATGGGTCCTCCATGCAACAATTGTTGCGAGGGTATATCGAAACATGTTTTGGCCAGAACGATAACGTGGATGAGCTTTGATACCCACAAGTAACCATGACGAGCAACATCGAAACCTTTTCACTTGTTGTTTATAGTTGCGATTAAGGTATTGCTGGTTTATCGACTGCATAGTTTTGGTAGGAAGCCACCTGATGGTCGTGATCGATAAGAGTTGACTTACGAATCCTAGCGGCAATGTAAAGCTGTCACTAAGTGACTCAGCTCCGTATACTTTGAAGTTATAAAGAGTACAAAGCTTTTCGAGCGCACCCTTCAAATACTAGTGAGAAATTCATTGCTTATTGTCTCCTTTTCAAGAATAGTGAGCTAGACGGCAGAAGGTTATAGTAACAGAGTGCTCGATGAAGACTCCATCGAGTCCGACCGAAGTTTTGCCGACCACCGCACTAAACAAGAAGTTCGACTTCTCTTATTGTTGGTTTTGCAGCCAACACATACTCCCACCTTTGTCTTGTTAGCGCCGGGAACTTCAACTTCCTCCACGTGATGACAGGCATGACAAATCGCATCGCCACACGATACGCAATTGTATCGGCGAGTGTCCAGCAACTTGACCGCCCCAAAGTGTTTACTGCAGCATTGGCAGAATTCCGCCGCTTGTTTGTCAGCCCACTCGGACTGAGCGACAAAGGTCGAGGGGTCAAGCTGTCTCCGATCGAGGTGAGCAATAACACGGCTGAGAACTTCACCAAACCGAGGCATGTAGTAACGGGTCGTCATTCGTGGTGCTAATCCACCTGCCTCAATGCCCACAATATACACCACTTTAGTCTGGGCATCAGGTAGCCCTGAATTTTGCACAAAGTATCCCGAACGGAACATGCGAGATCGAACGAAACCCGGCGGCACATTTAACTGCAACACATCGGAAAGATTAAGCGAGTCCCAGACGCAATAGCCAACCGTTGATCCGTCTGGACATTGAATGACATTTGTCGATTCGACGACACACATATCGCGATTGCTTCGTTGCAGCGTTCGTGCCTTGAAGGCAGTATAGCGAATGTAGCACGACCGCATTGGACGCTCTTCCGATGGATGTTCCAGTACGTTTAGAATCTGGGCTTCGATGATGTTGTCGTACATGATGCGACATCGCTGCAGCAGCATGCCCGTGTCGGGCACTACAAACAGGTTCATGACGTCTTCGACAGAGGCGTCCGTGGTATCTACGCAGCAAAATCGTGTTTGGTGCTTGGTCACGCTTTCCTGATCCTCGTAGTAGACAATTCCGTCTTTCCGCGACTTGCCGCGCCAGTAAATGTCGTCGGTATTTTCGTGCATCATACTGTCCAGCACATCCTCAACGGCAGCAGTTATCTGCCTCATTAATACATTTTTTGTTTGATCCGATAGCTCCAGGTATGCTGGCATTCCAGATGATTGAGCATTAGAGCTCGACACCAAAGACGGCGTAGCCAATGACTGTTGTGAGGTCGATGCTGAGACTCTAGCACTTAGCATGTTCGTCGCAATTAATGCAATGTCGATCAAAAGAGGCTTGTTTGTTTGCAGCAAATTCTTGCACAATAAGGAGACTTTCTCCTTCTTTTGGAGATAAATAAGTGAGATATTCGGATGCTACGGCGTGTCGTTCTTAAACGCAAGTCTGCTGCGATTGACAAGCCACGGATAGGACAAACGTACAGTTGGAGCAAATGGTTACACATCTATCATCAGAATCTTAAATAGTCAGAAAGTGTAGTTTGGTCTCCTTTTTGTCGAAGCTCGCAATTGTCACCTTACTAGTATAGACGGTTAAGGCATTATGCCACGTTCGTCACAATAATTTTCCTCTTTATCCGAGCCAAACTAGCAGCATGAGTGGCGAACGTGCCTAGTTTGAAAATACGATGAAAGTATTTGCGTTGGCCCGAGCGAGGTAGTGCATTCGAAACGAAGACAGTGCGTTTTCATTACACAAGCCACGAACTTCAATAGATTGTACGACTCAAATAGTTGCATTTTCAAGCGCGGCACAGTCTGCGTATCTGCGACACGAATAAGCAAACTTTTGACTTCATCGTAGAAATCCATTTCTACTTGGGTATGACATGTAATCTCTTACAGTCGACATTTGAGCTTAACATCAATTTTCGGATTATGGCTCATCCTTCTTATTTTTAATTCATTTTTGAAATTTTGTAGGTCCAGCCGGTACATTTTTGTTTTTCTGTCGACCTGTTACTAGGCCTCCTTTTCAGATTCATATATCAAATTCATAATTCTAAAAATAATTTATAAATATGTTTAATGAATTATGTAGTTCATTAACTAAAGCCTTTTAATCACAACCATTTTTGTAGATGCTCACTCCGAAAGAAGCTGCCACGTATTACACAAGCACACACCTTCGAGCAGCGTGAGAAAGCGGTCAGACCGTCTTACCTCCGCGTGCGGTGGTGGTGTTGGTCGGCGCTAAAAAGCGCTGTACCAACCGTTGCCGGTCGCTTTGAAGCGAACCGTGCAACGAACTGCTAAGACAAGGGCTACAATTACGACACACCGAAGCTTACACAGCTTCTCGTGCGCTGTTTGCGATGTTTAGTAGGTTCAAGACTGACTTACATTTAAAGATTTTAACTAAATATGAGATTAACTACTGATTGCTTAATAATGCAAAGATTGAATACGCGTCTCTTTAGAAACGTATCCTTACGTGCGAGATAAATATATCTAAGCTCGCTGATGACGTCTGTCTGAAGCGTCACCGTGACGCCTTGTCCCAACTGACCGTCATCCCCGTTGAATGTGAATCCATCCACGAACATCACAACCACGAGAGTGGGTCACATTAATGTGCCTCACCCAAGTGGGATATATAAGGTATTATGTACACTTTTTAGATCTCTCCGGTAAGTATCATATACTTAACGGACTCTAGTAACTACTAGCCCGTTACATTTTTACTCCCAACAAAAACAAATGATGTATTTAGACCTAGTTAAATTCCATTTAGAACATTATTCCACCTAAAGCCTTGTACCATATAATATTTTCAGGCACACTAATGCCTCAGTGTACCGAGCGGACAATGAGCTCCTGTCCCACCTCACGACTCTTCTTCCGAAGAAATAAAAACAAATTCGAGATGGTTTATTTTTTCCTCTTTTTCCTTAGGTACAGCCGGTTCATTTAGTATTTCTACCGACCTGGTACTGTCCTCTTCGGCGAGGGCCTACACATCCCTCACTGTACATGGCTATCGTGCCACGGACGGGCGTTCTGCCGGATGTTCTAGGTGCCAAACAGTCCGAATAGCCCCAATTATTCTGTATTGGGACTTATGCTTGGCCGTACTCACTGGTACCAGGGTTCCCGGGGGTGTAACAGGGCATCTAGATACACGTAAACATTGAGTAATATACCTAATGTTTGGTTTTAAAAGTATCCATGATTACTTTTGACCTGTAACTTGGGTGCGATACACAAATGTGATCCACCCTCGTGAATGTGATATCCATTGATGGATTCACATAAGAAGGGATGACGCTAGTTGAAGCTAGGCATCACGACGTCTCAGAAGGACGTCAGTTGCGATCTTAAATCTAGATTTAAGATCATGCGACAGGATACGCTTCTAAACAGTCGCGTATCCGATCTATATATATATATATATATATAACCAATCAGTAGTTAAGTATATATTTAGTTATAACTAATTAAATATATCTCAGTCTTGAATTTACTTAAACACCGAAGCACCACGCACGAGAAGCTGAAAAGCTTCTACGTGACGTCGGTGCCTTCTTGTTAAGAAGTTCGTTGCACTCTCGCTTAAGCGAGAGGCAACTGGTGGTACGACTGCTTAAGCAGTCGACCAACCACACAACTACCCTCGCACGCGAAAGTAAGACGGTATAACCGCTTCCTCGCTTGTGCTGAAGTTGTGTGCTAAGTGACACGAGGTAACTTCGTAGAAGTTCCCGTCTACACTTGGTAGCACTAGTACTTCTTCCCACGACCCGTCTATCTGAGCGTGCGTGTGGTTGAGATGGTCCTTAATATAGACTGGAGTGACTTCCCTTACCTCTCCTAACACCATAGGGAGTTGGCAGAGCATATGGCGCAGGTACTTGGTGAACAAGCTCTGGTCAATCTCTTGCATTGTCCTCCTGAGCAACATGTTGCTCAGTTGGAGCAATTCGAGGCGTTTGTGCTCGAAAAGCGTAGAAACGCGTCCGAGGTAAACAGCCAAGCCACCGCTGAGTTCATCAATAAGACTCAGGATGAGATTAGGCTTGATCAGGCACGTCATGAGGCGCTCAACAGAACTGGTGAGACGCTCTCTGCCCGGCCTGCTCAACCGGGGCCCATTCGGATGGACCCTCCGAAGTTCGATGGAACTAGCCCTCACACGAATGCTCACTGGCTATTAGCAGTTAAGCAATGTGGAGTGGCGTAGCTCATCGAAGACGACACCAGAATGGTGTCGTATGCCATGTCTAACTTGCGTGACAAAGCGTCAGAGTAGGCATACTCTGCGCTAATGGCAAATGCTGATGCATTTCCATCATGGGCGATCTTTAAATCGAGGAAACGAAGTGGGGATATAGGCAAACGCTTCAACTGTGACAAGTTCGGTCACATGAAGCGGGACTGCCCGTACATTAAGGAGCCTGGCAGAAATGAAGAGGACTCTGTTTTCGCTGCCGGGGAGAGTCGATCATCAGGGTGGATGATCGACAGTGGTGCAACGGCACACATGACGCCGCACCGAGAAGACTTGTTCGACTACAAAAACCTAATGACAAGCATTGAGGTGACCATCGCGGATGGAAAGAAGATCCGTGTGGTAGGAACCGGGTCGGTGCGCTTAACGAGCATTGACGGCAAGCGCATTCGGATGTAGGCGTTTTCCACATCCCTGGCCTGGATCGACGACTACTATCGGTCGGCAAGCTTGCAGAACGCGGACTCAATGTTGAGTTCGAGCGCACATCATGTATCATTTGGAACAAAAACCAAGCCACCGCCTCGGGGAAAAAGGTTGGCAAGGCCTACATACTAGAATGTCAGCAGGAAACGGCGCAATACGTGGAATATTCGGACGTCGATAGCAATTATGATCTTTGGCACGCTCGTATGGGTCACTTGAACAAGGACGCGCTGGAAAAGACGCAGCGTGTGACGACTGGTATTCCAATTAACAATTTCAAGACGAAGGCGCTATGCACTGGATGCTTGAAAGTCAAGCAAACGGTGACACAATTCCCATCTCATTCACAGACGAAGACGTCCCGTATTCTGGAAGTTGTGCACACGGACGTAATGGGACCGATGAAGACGAGATCGAAAGGTGGCGCAAAGTATGTGCTTACCTTCGTTGACGACTACTCGAAGTACGTTGTGGCATACTTCCTTAAGAAGGAGAGCGAAGTGCCGAGAAGATTTAAGTCTTTTAAGACCATGTACGAGAATCAGTGGGGAGAGCGCATCAAGTGTCTACGCTCTGACAACGGCACTGAGTTTGTAAACAAGGCCATGGATGGAATTTGTCAGCGTAACGGAATTGTTCATCAAAAGACTGTGCCATCCAGCCCTCAACAAAATGGAGTGGCTGAGCGGATGAACCGAACGATTATGGAGAAGGCACGGAGCATGATGCACTACAAGGGTGTATCTCCTTCCTGGCGGGCAGAGGCAATTAGCACGGCAGTGTACTTAATTAACCGGACAACAAACAGCACACACACTGACGCGACTCCATACGCGATTGGATTTAAGATGAAGCCTCGACTAGACCACTTGCGAGTGTTTGGATCAATTGGTTATGCTCATGTCGACGACGCTAAGCGCACCAAGCTCGAGCCAAAAAGCTTCAAGTGTATGTTCCTTGGCTATGGGGACAATACGAAGGGCTATTGTGGTGAAGTGCTAATTTTGTGATATGAAGGTCCCGGACTCCAGTTGGATTCAGAGTATAGGCCGTGGGTCAGGGACAGGGGACCAGAGAGACAGGGGCCTCGAAGGGGAGCGACCGTTGGTGGAGGACAATCCGCAGGATCCGCCGAAGAAAAATCAG